AAGCGTGTCCTCCAAAGCAATGTTCAACACGGCCACGTTGAACACCCTGTCCTCCGTGCCGATCACGCCGGGTGAGGGCCGAACCTGAATGCCCAGCATGTGCATGACCGTAGCCGGCCGATGCACCCATGCGGGTGTTGGGGCATTTTCCGCGCTGTGCGGCAATTTGGGCCCTCATACATACATACATACATACATACATACATACATACATGCATGCATACATACATACGTACATACATACACACACATACATCGCCTTTGCTTTCGCTGTCGAAAGCACTGATTCCGGGTTGGATGCAGCTTATCATGTAAGTATACAAATGCTTGCGAAGCTCAAACCCGGGCTGTATGTACTCTGCCGACAACAGCAATCAGCACTGCCCAGAGTTTGGCCCACCGCCCTGGGGGGAAGAGCCAAGGAGATTTACCCGACGAAAAAAACCCGTCTCCATGACCTTGAATCCCTCACCAAGAATCAAAGCAAAGTCACAACCATGAATGAAGCCTGCCCTCACCTACGGGTTGCGACGATTCCTGATGCAAAACAGCTCATTCGTGAACCAAGCAAACGACAAGAGACCGCTTCTGGCAGGAAGCATTCAGGAAATGCGTGACGAAGCACGGACGACCGGTCGCTGAAGTGCCTTCCGAAATGTAGGCTTCGTGCCCTGCAAGTCCGAATGCAGATGGGGTGAACTTGCCACGATCAGACTCGACTCTTTCATCATCCGTCATGAAGGTTTTGCAAAGTGCCTTGCTACAGCCATTCCCGTTCATGTGTACCCCCACATCATTTTCGACCCTAGGGATGCTCGTGCATATGTATTATGCTTATGCATATGTATATGATACGTGTATGTGTATGTAAAGCGAATCATGGGCTTTGTGTCTTAATCCTTTTGGAGCCCGAAGAAAGGCCTACGAAACTTTTCTAGAGCCCTTGTCAAACCATCTAGACTCTAGAACCCCAAACCCGAAACCCTCCACCTTCAACCCCCAACGCAGAACGACCACAGGAGAGGCGCTTGGGCAACAGCTCCCATGGCCCGCCGACGGAGGCCGAGGCACGGAAACTCTACGTGGTCCTTCGGAATGCGACGGAGCCAGATTCGACGAAGCTTGAGTGTTGTTGAAGGAGCAGCAGGGGTGTTGTACTCGGTCTGCAGGTTTGAAAAAGGGTTGCTTCCCGAAGAAATCCCAGGAAGCTGAAGAATACCTTCTGCGCCTGGCAGATTGCCCAGAGCATTCTCTTTGCGATGAGGGCCGGCCCCGTCATCGAGATCTCCACGAAGCTCTGCCCGCCTCCGAGGGGTGGAGAGGCGGCCTGTTCCCAGGTAATCAATGAAATCATGCTCATGTTCTGGAACGTCGGGAAGTTCATTGCTGCGGCTGCAACGAATTGCATCGCTGGGCTGAATGTGGCTGCCGGCTGCGCCCTGGGCAGCCTCAACCTCGTCTCTGCCTTCTCTGCCACGGGCAGCGTGACATCGGCCCTTGTGACTTTGTCATAGTTGGGCAACATTTTACATTTTATGGGTACTTAAGCCCAAGAAGGAATGGAAACTTAGACTTTTAAATATGATCCCAACCCATGGACTAGGCAATGCGCGTCTGCACCGACCTTCGAGGACGCAAGAGGAATATCACCGAGCAACGGATCAACCGAGACTGGGTACCTGTTACGAAACTGAATCCGTTTAAGCTGGGTACCGTTAAAGGAAGTTCGGGAGATCAAGCTACACGAGGAAAATCATGTACTCATTGACCGCCGAAGCGAGTTCAAGTATGATTTCAAGTTACATTACGAAAGCCCCATAAAGCAGTAACTGATAGCCACTTCCGTAATAGCCAAGTTGCAAGACGCAAGGAAAGATCCAGAAGATCAAGCTCCTTCAAAGCATCTCCTTGCGGCGACTGCTACTGGGGGGTACTTGGAAACAATTGTTTGACTTTTTGGTTGCTATAATCCCTGAGAAACAGCTAAAATCACAATTTCTGGTTACTATACCGAAGGAACAGCTATGAATGCATTTCTTGTGCAAGGGCCCCAAGCTGAATGTAGTGTGGTCTCCATTGTAGTGCTGTTTTGATTAACTTTTGAATGTAGCATGACCTTAACCAGTATAGGCTACGAGAGAAGAAGCTGACCGGCTCGGCGGAAACGGAAGCCCAAGCCTTGGTAGCCCTGCGTGACCCAAGCAGCAATGCCACGATGCCGGAGCTTGGGCTTTATTGAGGGTTTAGGGTTTAGGGTAGAAGGTTCAGGGTTTCGGGTTTCGGGTTTCGGGTTTAGGGTTTCGGGTTCAGGGTTGAGGGTTGAGGGTTTAGGGTTGAGGGCTGAGGGTTTAGGCTTAATTAACAAGTTTAGGTTTTGAGGAATCAGAAACCCCGAACCCAGAGCCGAAACCCCTGCACTTTCCACCCGAAGCCCTCGACCAAAACCCTAAACCCTAAACCCTTAAATCCTAAACCCCAACCTTAAGCGGTGTTGCGCCCAGCGACCGTCTCGGCTATGGGGCATCTTGGCCACGGCATGTCCACAAGCCTTAATCCCAAATCCAAAACCTAAACTCTGAACACCTAAACCTTAACTCCCAAGGCGCAAA